TGTTAGTTTTAAAAAAAAAAAAAAAAGGGGTAGACCTTCTGCTGCTACAGTTAAAGTAGAGATTGATTTAGCAAAGGATCGACTAACAGCTTGTTTGGATGGTTGTTATGTATGGTTTCATAATGTATCTTATAATATTGTATTGTATCTTTTTGATGTATATAATGTTTGGATAGATTGTATTAGTTTCCGCCGTTTCATGATGTCATCAACAATATGAAGAATAAATTTGCAATATTATAAAATTAAAAAAAGACACGAGGTAGAATTATTATATAAAAAGGTAGGATAAAGCATAAAATGAGATTATTTAATAATATGGAAGGCAAGATCAGAGGAAAAAAATAAGGGAACGACGCGACCACACCAAATCGGTCGTTCCATAAAGTGGCATTTTTCGTCGTTATGCAACAACGGATTTAACGATATGATACCATAAAATTTAAGTAATATTCAAGACAAAAATTGTATTTAAAGTAACAGTACGATACAATACAACAAGTAACAACCATCCAAACAAGTTGTTAAATGAAGTTTGGGTCAATTTTAAGAGGTCGGGGAGTGAGATTGTTGAGGACATTTGGCAGAAAATAGAATATGAGAACAGTCCTTCTTATTGTCTTAAGTACTCACAGCAAGGGCATTCGGAAAAGCAATGCAAAAAAAGAATGGAATGTTGAGGATGATGAACAAACTGAGCTTGGCAAAAATGATAATGGACAGAACAAGGATAAAGAGTTGAAGCATATGGCTGAGAAATAATAACATAGGGAAAAATAAACAACAGGGTGAATATCTAAAGGACAAGGAGCGACCTTGGAGCAATACCAAAACCAAAAAGAGGCAAAAACAAATGTATGTTCGTAAAAGTAATGCATCTCCTAGAAGCCTCTAGCAATTAAACAGAATGTACAATAAACAGTGCAACTAAAGATCATGTGGGTGCACAACAATGTAACTTGCCTAAGGTTAAGGCTTATGAAGAAGCTAGGGGTTATGGTGATGGTAATGAGAATACTAATGATGCTAATGTTGAAAACAAAAGGAAGTAATGATATTATACCTGACAAAACTTCTATATCGGATGAGCACACTGTCCCACCAAAAAAAGAGTTCCTCAACCAACAACGAAATCACTATGGTAGAGGGAATTTTTACCCATACATAAGAATAAGATGCTATTTTTATGACGATAACAATGAGGTTAATTTGGAATAGAAGTCCACTTTGGAGACAAGGACAACAATGGAGGTGACAAACTAATCAATTGCAGTTACCGGTCGAACTTCCACCTTTAGACAATAACTTTCATACATTAATTACTTTCTAGCAATTGCTTAGCCCTCCCAACCAAGGATTCTCAATTCATTCATGAAACATGTACACAACCTTAAATGCTCAGCCCATCTTTTCTTCCTAGTTTGAGCAAGAAAAGTCATTTTAGCATGGAAGAGGAGATCGATGCAACAGAGGTTCTCTTTAAATGATGAAGATTTCTCTGAAGATGAAAGAGACGATTTTGAAGAAAAAAAATGGAGGAAAAAGAAATATATGTATTTGGATTTGTGTGTGCAGAAGAAAAAGGGATCCCAAATAGGATCTAAAAGAAAAATGGGGTCAAGAAGTAGCCTTTTTCTCTAGATCCTTCAAACATATATTATAAAAGTCAAAAAACAATATATTTCATCCATTATGGAGTTACTCTTGAATTTGAAACGAATCACATCAGAATGAAAAAGGATGCAAAAAGGGTGACGGAGAAAGAGGGGGAGCACAAAGAGTGAGAGAAAATAGATGAAGATTGAGATATCTGTAACAACAGCCACAGGGTCATAATTCCAAAATAGCCCAATGTAAGGCAATCAAGATCATATTCGAATAAGCAAAAGAAAACAACACAAGGAGCTACTTAAACCCTAAGCTCGTTGGTACGAGGATAAGGGATAATTAATCTCGGTATTAAATTTGAGATGCGTTTGTCCTACATTTAGTTGGGATAAAATCGCGATATAACCAATCCTGGGATTGTATTGTTATTTTAATCCCTATAAGAGGGTGGGATAATAATCCCGGGATAACTAATCCGAAATAATTAATTCTAGGACAACTTGTTTTCAAATCAGACGACCCCTAAGTGTCTACAAAACCAGCCAAAGATATTCCCTCTGTCCCAATTTATAGGATAATCTTTTCTTTTTAGTCAATTCAAAAATAATGGCATCTTTCTATATTTGGTAACAATTCAACTTTAAAATCCCCTTTTACATTTAATGAAATGAATTTTTGCCATACAAATTTTTATATTAGATCACAAGTTGTAAAAATCTTACTTTATTTCTTACACCCAATTAGAGACTTTCACAAAAATCAATAAAGCATTCAAAATATTTTAGTACTATCTTTGTCCAAGCTCTGACGAGTAAACAAACCTCTACAAGAGCAACAAAAGTGGCCATCATCATAGCAAATGCTTCACCGACATCAAACGAAGGAAGTCCCCATTGGAAGGGGTAAGGAATACTAATCCTGCAAATTAGTGCCAGCGAGGAATAAGAGGAAATCGTTAAAGTTACAAATTTAAGCAAGAAATAAGTAGAATGGAATGTTTTTCAAACAATACGACTTCCTTGATACAATCATTAGACCATGAGTTAAAAAAGTAGTTCAAAATATGAAGTAAATTTTGTTCTGCTCCTAGATAGTAGCAATGAAAATAGTTTAAAATTGACCAACAAACAATCTAATGCAGTCTACAATATGAGAATCAATGCATTAGGGAAATTAAAAGGGGGAGGACAGGAAGAGCACTTGCCATGGAGCAACATCAATGAGTCCAGCACGATCAGTTCTGCAGCTTGCTTGTGTCTTTGGTGGCTTTCCATTGTAAGCCCCACGCATGGTGAGTAGGTGTGCATAAATCCATACAATGGCCACCGTGATACTAACAGTAAAACTATCAAATATCATCTTCCTTGGGCATATCAAATAGGCAAAATACTGCAATAACCAGAATTTGTACCTTTATACCTACAATGTCTTCCATGTAAAATAATGTTCAAGTGAAATATCTGATTTCTAGACAAAGCATCCCACCTGAGAGAAAATGACCAAAAGGACTAGCTCTGGCAACCCAACTTCAACACATTTGGCAACCTAAACAAAGATAAAGTAGATTTAACAATCATCCTACAGTATCAACCCCATTGATCAGAATTAAATAGAAAATATCATAATGCAAGATATCATCAACACTTATAAATTTAGCGAGTTGCGATACTTACCCCAGTAAAACCAAACTCATAAAGCCCAAAGCCAACAAGAGAAACCAAAGGAACAACTGAAAGTGGGCTCAAAAACCTAAGAATCCGCGGAAAGTAAAATGCCTATTAGAGCTAGTGTACGTGCACGAAGCACTCAACATAACTGAGCAGACATTAAACCACCGAAAAGTGATCCTTATTAGAGCAATTAATCTATCATTAGTATAGCATAACAATATCCAAGAGCAGAAAAGTATGTGCTTGATTGTACAAAACCAGGAGAGATCTTGTGATATAACAAACCGTGTAACCTTGCGCCAGAGGCCACTGAAGCCTAGGACTATCTGAAGTGTTGAAGCCGCAATATGTGCACCTTGAGTCGCCCGCATTATCTTCTTGAATTTCTGATGAATCATATAGGAAACATAAACAAAAAAATTAACACCCAATATCACCAAGATGCAATGGATGACTCCTATGTCTCAAAACTTCTTCCGACTAGCTAGTGGCGAAGTTAAAGAAATGGGCACCGACATGAATCATATATTAAGCGGAAAATAAATTATTATGTGCATCAGTTTGTTTTGACACTTAGAAAGTAGTATTTAAATTTGGTTCTCAAAATGTTATTGCGGAAATTTATAGTTAATGTTTGGGTGTATATTTGGAGGTATCTTCCAAAATTTATAAATTATTATTTTCTCTCAGATGTTTGAAGGGGTCGAGCCACGTTGCACAAACAGCCACTAAGTTATGATCACAGACCGTAATGAATTTTTTTCACTCTCTATAACGACCCGACCGGTCGTTTTGAGCTCTAGCGTGTCGTTCAGCGGTTTGAGGCCACGAGCAGCTTCATTTCAGGTATTATGCCTTGTACGCATGGTCGGAATTGAATTCCGGAAAGTTCGGAGTTGATTTGGGGAGAGAATTCTCATTTCAGAAGCTTTAAGTTGAAAGAATTGACTAAGATTGGATTTTTGAGTAAACGACTTCGGAATCGGGATTCGAAGGTTCCAGCAGGTTCGTATGATAGTTTCAGACTTGGGCGTATGTCCAGATTGGGTTTTGGAAGACCCGGGAACGTTTCGGCACCTATTGTGGGAGTTAGCATTTTTGGAAGGATTTCAAAAGTTTGGGTTAAAGTGCCTTTCAGTGTTATCAATGTCCATTTGGGATTCCGAGTCTGGGGATAGCTCCGTATGGTGATTCTAGTGTTGGGAGCCCGATCGAAAGTGAATTCGGGGGTCCGTAGATCATTTTGGAGTCATTTGGCTAAAGATAGAAATTTGAAGGTTTTTGAGGAGTTTGACCGGAAGTGGACTTTTTGATATCGGGGTCGGACTCCGATTCCGCAAGCTGGAGTAGGTCCGTAATGTCAAGTATGACTTGTGCGCAAAATTTGAGGTCAATCGGACGTGATTTGATAGGTTTAAGCAACGAAAGTAGAAGTTTGAAATTTTAAAGTTCATTAAGCTTGAATTTGAGTGTGATTCATGATTTCGACGTTGTTTGATGTGATTTGAGGCCTCGAGCGAGTTCGTATCATGTTTTGGGACATGTTGGTATAATTGGTTAAGGTCTCGAGATTTCGGAAGGTTAACGGAATGGATTTCGGACATAGAAAGCTGCTGAAATTCTATTGCAGAAGCTGTTTCGCCAGAAAATTTCTGATGCGAGCAGTCGATTTTGGAAGCTCATATCTTGCAATCTATAAGGAATCTGAAAATTTGCAAAACATGAAAGTTATAGCCCCTGCATTCTAGTTTCCAAAAAGATAAACCCTTCATCATTTGGATATTTGTACAGAAAGTTATGGTCCATTGACTGAAGGCCGATAGTAGCTCATTTTTGCTTGAAAATCAGGCAAAGTCGCATTTCATACATGCGACTCGCATCGGCAGAATGCCTAAAAACGGGAGTCAGCCATTTTTTACTCATTTTGGAGTTTTGAGTCTCGAATTTGGGCGATTTTTGGAACTTTTGGAAGAGGGTTTTCACCTAGCACTTTGAGGTAAGTAATTTCTACACAACATGAGTTTAATACATAGATTATGGATAGATTAACATGTAAAAATTGGTGAAATCAAGGGTTTAGATGAAAATCTAGGTTTTGTAAAAAAATGAGATTTGTGACGACCTGACCGGTCGTCTTGAGAATTAACGTCCCAATCCCCTATTAACTGCTTTCCCCGAGTCTATTTCTGCTATTTTTATTCGTCGAGACGTTCGGTTTTAAGTTTCGGAAAGTTTTGGGACACTTAGTCTCTAAATGAGAGCTTAAATGTTGGAAAGTTGATCGTAGTCGGAACAGTGTGAAGACGGCCTCGGAATGGAAATCTGATGGTTCCGTTAGCTCCGTTGGTGATTTCGGGCTTAGGGGCGTGTTCGGATTATGTTTTGGAGGTCCGTAGCTAATTTAGGCTTGAAATGCCGAAAGTTGAATTTTTGAAGTTTCCGGTTCGATAGTGAGATTTTGATCCGACGGTCGGAATGGAATTCCGAAAGTTGGAGTAGTTCCATAGTGTAGAATGTGACGTGTGTGCAAAATTTCAGGTCATTCGGGCGAGGTTTGATAGACTTTTTGATCGAAAGCGTGTTTTTAGATTTTTAGGAATTCTTAGGCTTGAATCCGATGAAAAATAGGTGTTTTGATGTTGTTTTGAGCGTTCCGAAGGTTGGAACAAGTTTGAATGATGTTTTAGGATTGGTTGGCAGGTTTGGTTGAGGTCCCGGGGGCCTCGGGTGTGTTTCGGATGCTCAACGGATCATTTTTGGACTTAGAAAATTGCAAAAAATGTTGCAGCAGTCAATTCTGGTTTCCTTCTTCGCGTTCGCGAGTGGGATCCGCGTTCGCGAAGGGGAGCTGGGGCTGGTGAGGAATTAACGCTTCGCGTTAGCGAAGGAGCTTCCGCATTCGCGAGGCTGCGGGACTGTGTGCCTACACGTTCGCGAATGAAGTCTCGCGTTCGCGTAGGAGAAGAGAAATGATCATCGCGTTCGCGGCTCAGGCATCGCGTTCGCGAAGAGGGAGACTGACTAGTGGACTTTAGTGCATCGCGTTTGTGAAGAAGGAAATACCTAGGCAGCATATAAAATTTCAAAATCGAGGGTTTAGCCATTTTTATCAAAACTTAAGTTTGGGAGCTCGAATTTGACCGAGATTTTGAGGGATTTTCAGAGATATCGATTGGGTAACGATTCTTAACTCCTTTTTGCTTGTAACCCATTAATCCAAACATGAATTCATCATTAAATTTCGGAATTTGTATGAAAATTTGGGAAAAGTTCTTAGACCAAAAATTTGAGTTTTGATTGGGGATTTGACATCGGATTTGGATAATTTTGGTATGGTTAGACTCGTGAGAGTATGAGGATTCTGAAAATGTAAATTTTACTCGATTCCGAGACATGGGCCTAAGGGGCGTTTTGGTCATTTTACCTAATTTCGCGTATTAGCTTAGAATTTAATTGTAGAGTTACTTGAAGTGTTATTTACATTATGCAATTGAATTGAATAGATTTGGACCATTTGGAGTCGAGTACTCGTGGCAAGAGCGTGGTTTCGGGTTGATTTGAGCTGGTTCGAGGTAACTGGCTTGCCTAACCTTGTACGGGGGACCTTCCCCATTATGCAATCGAATTGAATAGATTTGGACCATTTGGAGTCGAGTACTCGTGGCAAGAGCGTGGTTTCGGGTTGANGCCGGAAGGCATCCCAGGAGATCCCCTGCATGTATTTATGATCTGAACTAAGGTGTGGGATACCAAGAGATCCCTGGCACGTATATTGAGGATACC